GGGGGGTATGTTTTTGCATTTTTTATTCATGTGGGGTCGGCACGGGTCCCACTCGAATGTGAGAGTAGGTCAACCGGGTGGGCAAATTTCATCTGGCAAAGGAGCTTAATTCTTCCTAGTGGGGGGTAGGGCCGTAGGGGGTCTTCCCCATTTATTTTTTTATTTTTATTTTTGCTTTTATTTTATTTTTTTTATATATTTAGTTGGTAAATATTATTACTTTTTTACTAATACTAGGTACAAGCAACGTGCAATGCACGTTTGCTTAGTTTATATTTAATATTTTTGTTTAATAATTAATTTGTTATTAATAAAGATATAATTTTTTTGGTTAATTAAGGGTGTGTATGGGCGCCGTGCAAGGAAGAAGGAAAATTGATTATATTACCGTTTTTTTTTTTCAAACCTACAGCCATACAGTGAGAGAATTGATCCAAAATTGCGGCTCCCAACGGCATGAATTGTGTTGCCAACAGCTTGATTTCTGCTGAAAAGCAGAAACAGACACCCTATAAATAATTAATGATGTAATGTTTATGTAATTGATAAATAATTAAATGTGTGATTTTGATATTGTGATATAGGTTAGTGAGATTGAAGAAAGTAAGTAAAAGTAGACAAATTTGGAGAAATGACTAAATTGTAAGGGATCCAAAATTCGGGGACTAAAATGTAAATACTTAAAAATTGTACCGAATCTCACGATGAAGATTTGAGAGTGCACGGAGTCAATTGGATAAAGGAAGATGTCAAGGGGATCAAATTTAGTCAAAAGATAATCACAAATCAATTTCCAATCGAAAAGTTATGATCCGGTATTTTAGTCTCATATTAAGACCTATTTTTGGCATAGGAAGTGATCGAATTGGAGAATGATTTCTGAATTAGAGTTATAACCAGATGAGTTAGCTTTCCAGCGCATTTTGCATCGCCTCAACAGGATATCAGAATACAAAGTTATGATAAAAACATTGAAAAAAGGTGCAGCTGCCTGTTTAAAACAAGAAATTCCATTACATAGTCCGTTA